CACTGACACCAACAATAGGGTACCATTGCTCCCACTGACACCAATGATAGGGCACTATTCCTTCCACTGACGCCAACAATGGGGCACTATTGCTCCTCCTACTGACCACATGCGCTAATTTTTTAAATCCCACTGACCATCAACTCTGAGACATTGTGGACTGAGGACAGTCAACTGGGCCTTTGTTTATGAAGTTTGGAGACCCCTCCCTTAGAGAATTTAACCATGCTTGGGACAAACACAGATCTATGCTTTGACAAAAACAAAAATAACTAAATAAATAGGGGCAGACTCAATTGACCACTTGGTGTTTTTCTGCTGTCGCTCTTCCATGTTTGTTAGATGTACCTATAGCAGCCCATAGATTATGCCATTTTCTTTCCTTCCACCTTCTTTCCTTGGAAGGAAAGAAAATCACTCCCGCAGTGCTATTGTGTTCTGCCAGCTGGGAGCCTTCCCGGCTGGCAGAGCACAATGATTACTGCTAGCAGCTATAGCTGCCAGCAGTAATCACATGTAAAAAATCTGACAAGCTGGTTGTATAACCAGCCTGTCCATAGATGGATTGAATCTTGGCCAGTCCCTGCTGAACCATCGAGGATTCGATCCATCTATTGCCAGGCTAACACAGTATCCCACAATTCAGAGCTTTCTGAGCTTCTCCAGATATCGAAAGGTATGCTTAGGCACTAGATGACTACTTTGTAGTGACATTTGCATTTTATTAGGTTTATTCTAATTACAGGTGTACTTTAAGGGGAAACAGATTTTTTTTTCTAAGATGATTTGTATTGGGTTTACATGAGCTAAATCCAAAAACACAACAATATTCTCCTTACAACAATGATGGAAAGGCAGACAAAGGTCCCAAAATACAATAGGACATGGAGCAGCCACACGAGTGGTATTGGTTTGACACTGTAAACAGTACAGAATTTTTGGTGCAGAGAGGATCTTACTGGAGAACACTTGTCATGGAAGCACAGAGACCAAAGTACATTAAACCAGGTTTCAATGAAACAGGTTATGAAGGACAGTCAGCAAGAGTGAGGAAAGGAGGTCCACAATCCCCACATTTTGTCAAAAAGAGCTGGGTGGATTCTGTATATGTTAACTTGGAATAGGGAAGAACAGAGTTAATGTGCCATATGCACATAGAGATTAATGGAGTTAAGTAGGCCTTCCAAGTAAGGTAGGTAATAGCAGTTAGGGTCCATGCACACTGGGCATAAAAATACTGCTTATACAGGCATTTGGATTTTTATTTCCAGCCTGTATAAGCAACTCTTTGTTAGCGTATGTGTTCATGCACATTAGGGCGTTTACAGGCATATTTGCAGAAAATGCTCATTATACAGGCATTTGGCTTTTTTTCGTCAGCCTGCAGAAGCAACTCTGTGGTATTCTATTTGTCCATGCACATTTGTGAGTTTAGACGTATATTTGCAGAGTAGCACTTTCAGGCAGAAAAAAAAACATCACAATGGGCATTTTTCTGCCGCTTTTTCTGCCAGGGGTTCTGGCTTTTTCTCTGCCCCTAGTGTGCATGGGCTCTAATGCTAACGATGTTCACTCGTAAACATCCATCACAAACATCACTTGTCATGACTACAGGTTTAAAAAATGTAAGTTCCCATTGTCCTGTATTTTGTGTGAAATAGTACTCCTGAGTAGTTTTCTGCAAACTGATCATATCCTATAGTCTGCATTGAAATAGTTAACTAAAGCTAGGATGTCTTGCCACCAGCCAGAGAATGCATTTTCTACACAGCAAAGTATTTGGCAGCACCTAGAGGTTAATATGCAGTACTGCAGACCTATAAATATAAAACATGTAACTACAATGATTATTATCAGCAGAATAACTAATGACCTTAGCCACATTTTGATCGGACCCTCCAGCAACCTCCCCACAGTCACTGATGCTACCATAAATCAGGGGCTGGTAGCAGGAGAGCTGAATACATAGAAAGTGTATTGTTAGGGATTGGTGCTGTGAACAGTGCACTGAAAGAGGCAAGTGAGGGGCATTAGTGCAGGGAATACTAATTCTGTCCCTCTTCCACCACCACAGCAAACAAGTGCACAAATAGGTGGCGTACTAGTTAGTAAACAAAGAAAAAAGCTATGGTCACAATAATAATGAACATCGCAATTTTTTTATATTGTGACATAATTGTTGGCACTTCTGTACAAAATTACTTTGTAAGGCTCATTTACATATGTGTGCTGTGCTGTGCACTGGCCAATTAAGTGTATTTCTACAGTTGCCATAGCCAAGTGTTTATGAAACTGTTCACATGCAATCACACATGGTACAATTGCATTCAGTTTGGGACAGATGAGTGGCCCTGAACACAGACAGTTTGAGTTTGGTGGCAGTCATCTGTCCCTAACTGCATGTTATCACACCATGTGCAATGACATGTGAACAGTCACGGACATCTGCAGCTGTTGTCAGCCTGTCATTCTCTTGTATAGGCTGAGTGGCCACAGCTAAACAAACACCTGGCTGTACCCACCCCAAAATTTTGCTTATCTGGGTGCGCTAATACGCAGCTTCCGGTGCGTGGTGACGCACTTCTGGCATCGATCGCCATCTTGGTATACCCAGGAAGTCCCACACACATGCAGTACACCCATACATCGGTGAGGAAGGGGAACTGCTTGACATGTGAGTGGCATTTATCTACTTTTAATAAAGGAGATCTTGGTTTAAAGAGATACTGCACTATAGAGGATCTTTTTTTGCTCACTGTGTTGGTGAGCTACCTACCTACACAGGGGCGGACTGACAACTCATGGGGCCCCCGGGCAATAGGGGATCATGGGGCCCCTGTGCCCTTGCCCAAACAAAAAAGCCTATGAAAAAGGTACCAGGGGTATCTCATGGGGCCCCCTACTGACCCTGGGCCCTCGGGCAGTGACCGAGTTTCCAAATGGTCATTCCGCCCCTGGTCCTACAGAAACTTCCTATCTGGGGAAACTGGAGCCTTATAGGAGACCCACTACATGAGGATTGGTACTAGCCCAAATGATAAAGGATCCAGGGTGATCCTGAAGGCTTTTTGGCCCCTAGGGGTCACCGGAAGGAGGTGAGGAGGCATTGTAGCCACAGTAGAAGAAGTGTGTTGACACAGGCACAGATTTGCAAAAACACCATTGCACATTGCATGAACTTGAAATATGGACGATTTGATTATTTAGTGTTTTTCCAGTTTTGAAGTGTGGACACTTTTTTGCACTCAGCACTTATATTTATCCCCTAATGTAGAGGGGTCATTGTTATTGTTTGTTTGTGTGTACACGTTTATAAGTCACTTTAGTTACCAGTAGCACTATACATATATATACATAGATCTATATATATATTGTTTGCACTGCATTGTGCATTTTTTGCACTTTTTAGTGTGTTTAGTCATTTATGTACACATATTTGTTTGTGATTTTATTTGCATTCTTGGAAAAAGTACTGCACTATTATTTGTTAATATTAGTTGTAAAAAGATTCTCCTAGTCAACAATCAACATTCAGTACTGGAATTCTAAATATGAATGGTGATGTAGGAAGCCGACAGAATACATTGCAAATAAAAGTCTTGTAGTATACCCCTTACTGAACTCCGGGTGTATATAAAACCAATTAGATTAGATTAGATTTGTTTTTGAATGCAAGTGGCCTAAGGCTAGGTTTACAAATATGCAGGTCATGCAGGCCATGTTTGCAAGGGCACAGTAGATCACTCATTTGAAGGGAATGTAAAGAAAAAGACCCCAAACCTTTTTTCAAAATGCAACTCTATAGTGATGCAGCACCATGCAGTTCTGTACACCCAAAAACGAGCTGCGCTTCCTGATGTGTGGGGTGCCATTAAGAATGGTGCATTTGCTAAAGAGCAGCACATTTTGCCCGCAGGTCAGGGACCGCATGCGATTACCACACGTTCCTCAGCCCGCATATGTGTGAACTTAGCCTAACTACTTGCTTGACTCGAGATCAGTCTGTTTTAAGTCCCTGTACAAAGAAATCCAGGCAGGGAAAGGGAGCCTTAAACGTGCATATGAAGTTGAGGAGTAGTATGGTGCAGTCCTTTAACCACTTACCCTCCAGAGGATTTACCCCCCTTCTGACCAGGCCATCTTTTGCGTTACGGCACTGTGTTACTTTAACTGACAATTGCGTGATCATGCAACTCTGCACCCAAATGAAATTTGCGTCCTTTTTTCCCCACAAATAGAGCCTTCTTTTGGTGGCATTTGATCGCCTGTGAGGTTTTTTTTTTTATTTTTTGTGCTATACATAAAAAAAGACCAACAATTTTGGAAAAAAAAAAACAATATTTTTTGACTTTTTGCAATTAATCATTTGCCCTCCAGAGGATTTATCCCCCTTCCTGACCAGGCCATTTTTTGTGTTATGGCGCTGCGTTACTTTAACTGACAGTTGAGCGGTCATGCAACACCGCACCCAGATGAAATTCATGTCTTTTTTTTCACCACGAATTGAGCTTTCTTTCAGTGGTATTTGATCACCTGTACAGCCATCCCAGGCAGTGTGCCCAAGCTGACAGGGAGGAAAACTGTTTATTCCTCCCTGTTGGTGATTGTCGGTAATCACTGGCTGGGACCTGGTGATTGACAATCGCGGGTGCAAATGGAAGCATGGTAGGGTGCCGCGCGCAGTTAGTGCGTGTCCCCTACACGGAAATGCTAAATCACGCATATATACGTGATTTTGCGCACCCGTGCCGCTGTGTAGCAGTATATCAGCTATACGGCGGCGGGTAAGCGATTAAACATGTCCAATAAAAAACTTTTTTAAATCTTATTTCGTCATAAATTTAGGCCAAAATGTATTCTGCTACATGTCTTTGCCGAAAAAAAAAATCCCAATACGTGTACATTAATTGGTTTACATGAAAGTTATAGCGTTTACAAATGGCGGTATATACACTGGAATATTTTTATTTATTTTACTAGTAATGATGGTGATCAGCGACTTATATTGGGACTGCGCCAGGCATTCTGACACTGGGGGGAACTGACTTGGTGTCACTGACATCCCCAGTGACACCAATACAGCGATCAGTGCTAATAAAAAGCACGGACACTGTACTAATGGCACTGGGTATGAAGGGGTTAACATCTGGGGCAATCAAAGGGTTCACTGTGTGTGGTGTTTCACTATGGGGGTTGTGTATGTGCTTTACTGTCAGCACACTGCTTTGTATGGTTCTGCTATGCAGAGCCATATAAAGCAGTGTGCAGGAGCTCACAGGGGAGAGATCTGTATTGTTTACATACAGGTCTCTCTCCTGTCGGAAATACTCGGTGATCACCAGGTGCCGGCGAGTAATCACTGGGTGGGACCCAGTGATTGACAGCCGAGGCCACAAATGGCGAGCCCCATACCCGGAAATGCAAAATCACGTATATATATATGTACTATTTCTGCTATAGGGCGGTGCGGAACTGGTTAAAAGTGACATTTTTCTTTACAAACAGTGGCCAGGTATCTGTTATTCAGCGGCATTGGGCCATCAGTTAGGCCAGTGTTTTTGCCTGATCACCAAAGTCGGAACAGGATGGGTTTGGGTCAACTCATGCTCAACCCAAACCGAATGCTCTTGACGATTAGAAAGTTGCCGCTTTAAAAGATGTACTACTGCCTCTTGCCCTCAGGACAGTTCTACATTTTTTGGATTTCCCCTGGCTTTCTTTCTCAGTGACAGTTGTCAACTGTACAAATGTAGCACTTTCCTAGTTAGGTGCCAGAATGTGTATAGTTAAGTTAGGCATAGCTGTGTTTCTCTGTTTACCAGAGAGGCTGTCAGGTAAATTCAGTGTGGTATTCTGCTTAACAGAGTGCTGTGATTTGTTAGTCAGGATGCTTATGATGCTCTGGTGTTGTTTGAGTTCTGTCCACCTTTAGGAAGCTATGAAAGCCTTTCAGAACATGGGTAAGGGCTAGGCAAACGAACAGCATGAATATGGATGCAGCCCTGGCCAACTTCAGGGGAGGGTGGCCCTGTTGCATGCTGGAAGTGGTATTTATGTTCTAGAAGAATATGGGCTCTGGGTCTTTTCCGGGAGTGGATTGCACCAAGCTAGGCTGAAGGCAGGCTGCCTCGCCTGGCACTTGCTGTCATATGGCCTCTGGTGGGTCAACCTGAGGGTCCGAAGTTAGAGAGAGTGACTCTGGCTGTACAGCAAGCTGACCGAGCGGAGCTGTCTGCTAAAGATCTATCTGGTATCACTGGAGAGAGTCGCTTGGAAGATTGGAAGGTGGCAACCATTCTGTCCTTGGACTTGTGAGTTCAGACATTGAGAGATTTTGGGGACTCTGTGTGCTTTGCTACCCCTCTGGTGCTTGATAGTCAGAATGGGTCTGAGAAAGGGATCATTGGCTAGTGTTCTGAAAAGCTTGTCCAATTTATGCTACTGCAAAGGACTTTGCTTGGTTGCTATTACTTCTAGACTGTCACAGAGCTACATGTGGGGGCATTGGTCCAGGATTTGCCCCTTGGAAGTACCAGGGGTTGCTGTGGGCAATGGAAATGACTGTTGGTGAGATTGTCGGTGCTGTGTACATTGCAGAGAGGCAATCGGGATGTCGGATTGCAGAGAGGCAATCAGGATGTCAGATTCTGGAAGGCAATTGGTGTGCTGAAGAGTTGCTGTGTCGCAATGAAGAATGTCTGCTTTACAGTTGACACTGCCAGGACAGGGGCATTTTCAGGTGGTGGCAGCAAAAGAGTTAAAGTGTGGCACGAGACTGAGAGCAACAGTGAATCTGTCTGAGAGGAAGCAGGATCGTTATCAGTGTCTGTGCAACGGAAGATTATTATTATTATACAAGATTTATATAGCGCTAACAGTTTGTTCAGCGCTATAAATTATAATGGGAGACAGTACACGAGTATCAGGGAACAAGAAGACCATCGCAGCGCATGAATCTGCACATGCGCAGGATCCCAACAAGGCATACAGGCAGGCGGGCACTAGGACCCAGGCGCGCCTGTCACCAATGATGGTGTCGGGCAGGCACTAGGACCCAGGCGCACCTGTCGGCGCTGGGCGGGCTATTTAAAGAGCACCTCGGTGCTGATTCAGTGCTGACAGGTCTTCAGCTTCCCCCGTGTCCTGCCTATTTCAATACGTGTTCCTTGTTGCTGACTCGGCTTGTTCCTGATTCTGAGTACTCTCCTATATATGAAGAAAGGAACGAGCGCTGGATATGACAGGATTCAAGCTGCTAGCATAAAGGTAAACCTCGTATACCCCCTTCATCAAAAGTCAAATACAAAAAGTTGCAGCGCTTGAGTGTATAATACAGGGAATTAACATAAATAGCAGAGTTAAACATTCATATTTCGACATGCACCAGATCCCACACTCTTAAATTGATGTAAACAGTAATCAGATAAGTAATGAAGATCTATCCGACTAATCAAGGTGCCTATAGTGATGGGGAAGGTAAAGTCATAAGTTCTGTGATGTATCCAAACAAATCCGTGACTTCCGTGATAGGGGAATAACTGTATATTGCACTAACCAGATAGCGCAAGTAAATGCGCATTGGAGTATAATGACCTACTCCTGGTGACAGCCAGATGGTCCTCAGCGTGAAGCCCTCAGGAACACCAGTGCACCACTCTTGCCGTCTCCTACCACCAGGGGGAGTGCGCCTCTTTACAGTAATAAGACCCAAAAGAAAGAAATCTTGATAGTGTAGTATTTTTATTCAAAGGTAAAAAGTAAGTAATACTCTTACATGGTAATGTCCAAAAAAAGCTGATGCATAGAATCCAAAAAGATGGCCGACAGTCAGATGCATGAAACAAGTGGATGATCAATGGTATGAGAGGTGTCCTTATCCCTTATCTGACTGTCGGCCATCTTTTTGGATTCTATGCATCAGCTTTTTTTGGACATTACCATGTAAGTGTATTACTTACTTTTTACCTTTGAATAAAAATACTACACTATCAAGATTTCTTTCTTTTGGGTCTTATTGCCGAGCCCCTGAGATGATCTCCTGATATGAAAGCACACCAATCCTGGCGATAAGAGGATATAAAGTGATTTCGTGTTACTGTAAAGAGGCCCACTCCCCCTGGTGGTAGGAGACGGCAAGAGTGGTGCACTGGTGTTCCTGAGGGCTTCACGCTGAGGACCATCTGGCTGTGACCAGGAGTAGGTCATTATACTCCAATGCGCAGTTACTTGCGCTATCTGGTTAGTGCAATATACAGTTATTCCCCTATCACGGAAGTCACGGATTTGTTTGGATACATCACAGAACCTATGACTTTAACATCCCCATCACTATAGGCACCTTGATTAGTCGGATAGATCTTCATTACTTATCTGATTACTGTTTACATCAATTTAAGAGTGTGGGATCTGAGTACTCTCCTGTCCGTGGTTCCCAACTTTGGCTCTGATCCAAACTTTGGCTTCTCCCTCTGATTCGGTACCACGCTGCCCGACTGTTATGACCCTGGCTATCCTGCAAGTCCACTCCAGTCCTGTCTCCTGGCTGCATACCTGGCTCCGCTGTGCATCTGGCAATCCGCCAAACCTGCCTGGGCTCCTACAACTCCGCTCCAGTCCTGTCTCCTGGCTGCATACCTGGCTCTGCCGTGCACCTGGCAATCCACCGAATCTGCCTGGGCTATCGCTGCAGTACCCTAAGCAACTGATACTTTGCCTGCCAAGCCCATCCTCCGCAAGAGCCACAAGCAAACCACTGGTGCTCTTGTCCCCCTGGTCCCTAGACTCCCTCTGTTCCAACCTCAGCGGGGTCAGGACTAGTGACACAAGTGAGGCCGACCTCGTCAATTCAGTCTCCCATCAGGTACATGACAACGAGACAGTACAGTAACAATACAATTCAATACATGAGGGGTTCGAGGGCCCTGCTCCTTGGAGCTTACAATCTAGGAGGGAGGGGATAGTGGTACAGGAGGAAATAGCTGTGGGGGATGGAATGGTAGGAAGAGTGGAGGAGATTGGTAATTAGCTGAGGGCGGGGTAGGCTTCCCTGAAGAGGTAGGTTTTCAGAGTGCACCTAAAGGTGAGGAGAGTAGGTGATAGTCTGATGGATTGAGGTAGGGAGTTCCAGAGGATGGGGGAAGCCCTGGAGAAGTCCTGGAGATGGGCATGGGAGGAGGAGACCAGGGAAAAAGAGAGCAGGTGGTCTTGTGAGGAGTGGAGAGTACGTTTTGGGTGGTATTTGGATAACAGATCAGTGATGTAGTTTGGGGCAGTATTATGAACAGCTTTGTACGTCAATGTTAGCATTTTGAATTTTATCCGTTGGGCAATCGGAAGCCAGTGGAGGGACTGGCAGAGGGGGGTGGCGGATATGGAGCGGTTAGTAAGGTGGATGAGTCTGGCCGCAGCATTCAAGATCGACTGAAGTGGGGATAGCCTGCGGTGAGGTAGGCCGATGAGGAGGGAGTTATAGTAATCAAGTTGTGATATAATAAGGGAGCGAATTAGTTTCTTAGTGGTTTCCAGGGTTAGGAACGGACGTATTTTGGAGATGTTGCGGAGGTGAAGTCTACATGAGTTTGTCAGTGATTGGACCTGGGGCTGGAAGGATAGATTGGAGTCTAGGATGACACCTAGTACTCTGGCTTGCGGGGTGGGACTGATGGTGGTGTTGTTGGTCTGTTGGAGAAGTCAGGGGGGGGGGCTGGGGGGAAAACTAGGAGCTCAGTTTTGGAAAGATTTAGTTTGAGAAAGCGGAGTGACATCCAATCCGATATGTCGTTCAGTAGGCTTGTGATACGGGCGGAGACTGAGGGGGTGAGGTGAGGAGTAGAGAGATAGATTTGCATGTGATCAGCATAGAGATGGTAGTTGAAGCCATGAGAGTGTATCAATTGGCCAAGGGAGGAGGTGTAGATGGAAAAGAGAAGGGGCCCAAGGACAGAACCCTGAGGGACCCCAACAGAGAGGGGGAGTGAAGTGGAGGTGGCAGCGTTATAGTTAACACTGAAGGAGCGCTGTGATAGGAAGAGAGCAAGGAGAGAGCGGAGTCTCTAAGGCCAAGAGAGTGTAGTTTTTTGAGGAGGAGGGGGTGGTCAACCGTGTTGAAAGCTGTGGAGATGTTGAGGAGTAGGAGCACTGAATAGTGGCCATTAGCTTTGGCAGTTAGCAGGTCGTTGGTGAGTTTGAGTAGGGCAGTTTCGGTGGAGTGTAGGGGGCGGAAGCCAGACTGTAGGGGATCAAGGAAGTTATTGGTGAGGTGGGAACTCAGGCGATTATAGACTAAGCGCTCTAGGAGTTTTGATGTAAATGGCAGCAGGGAGATGGGTCTAAGGTTGTTCAGGTCGGTGGGATCCAGGGAGGGTTTTTTAAGTATGGGAGTGATGTGCTCGTGCTTTAGAGGGGAGGGGGATGTGCCAGTAGAGAGGGA